TTTTCACTGCACTTACATTTGAGTACATGCAAGAGTACCAATATGAGTACTTAATAATACTATTACTGTTCTAACAATGACTTTAAACACGTTTATTTTGTAAATTTTTTAAAAGGTCATATTTCCCTCTAATATACATGTTTTATTGCTGTAAAAATATCAACAAACATACCCTAGCTTTAACAGTAAAGATGAAGTGGCCTTTGGCCTCTGGAAGGACCAGCATGAAATAACTCAAAGCATATATATATACACAATACCTTAATCAAGGAAAAGGGAGGATTCATTTATAGTAAGAGGTGTGGTATTCTAACTAGCTATCTATAGCCAACCATACCCATTCAACCACGTTTGAATGCAACAATACATGCCCATTTTAAAGTTAAAGGAAGTTTTAAAAAATAAGTCAATAGGAAAGCTTACAGATAAGGCAATTTGAGGGTAAATGGCTCCCTCATTTCTTTTAAAGTCCTGCTCAAATGCATTGTTAATAACTGTTTCAATTTCAGCACTTTCCCAGCCTGTCATGTGACTCAAACCAGTGACATTTGGACAATAGCTGGCACATGCCCACATCCTCATGGACTGAAATGCAACAAAATTATTTCCACACCCACACTTTTGTTACCTTCCAGCTCTAAGTGGCAGAAAATTGAAAAGGCCTTCGCTATTTTATTCTGCAGCGGTAGTTCAGTATCATGCGGAAATTGGAGTTGAGAGTGGGCAATGACTGACAGCTCCAAGTGGCTGCTCTGTCCCGCCTTCCTTCTATTTCTGTATGTGACCAGATCAAAGCGTGCTAGCAGGACAACAGACAGGGAGCAGGCAGCCAGCGACAGACAGAGACAATGGCTGACAGCCAGGGAAATGAACATACACAACAACACCACACTCCTCTTCCACATCTTTGATAGAAAGATCCCAGAAGAAGCCTTGAAAGGGAACCAAAATTAAACAAACTGCCTGTGTGTGTGTGTGTGTGTGTGTGTGTGTGTGTGTGTGTGTGTGTGTGTGTGTGTGTGTGTGTTGTCTTCTCTTACTGGCTAAATGAAACAAGATCCTAGCCTGCTCAACTCAGGCTGAGTGTGGATCGCCAGCAGATGCCAGAAATAACATGCAAAGGATGTAACTTGGGTCACAACCTGGCTAGCAGCATTATGCGAATCTGCTGGGTCATATCAGAACAAAGTATGTGACAGTTTACTGCGATTACATCAACAAAAGGTGATGCAATAGTCCACTTGCAGTACAAAGTATAGCCAACTACAGTAATAGTGCCTACACGTGGCAAAATAAAGATCAAAAATAAAGCATCAAAGGGAAGATAGTTCCTGAGACCAACCTATTGGCACTGTGGCACTGTGAAAAGATTCCTGGGTAATTTCACAAACGATAAGGCAATTGTTTCCATTAGAACCAAACCAGTATCTTTGTGGGCTAATTAATATTAATATAATTAGGGATGCACCGATCAACATTTTTTCACTTCCGATCCGATACCTGAATTTGGATATCTGCCGATACCGATACTATTCCGATACCAGAGCTCTGTTTGCTTTAAAATTATTATTATCATTATTGTTGGTTTTATATGAGGCTGAAATAAACTGCTCTCAACAGGCAAGTATGATATGTATGTATGTATGCATGTATGTATGTCCCAAAAGGCAAATTGAGGTAAGTATAAGGTCAGAAAAGGAAGTCAGAAAAACAGGAAATCCTTTTAACAGGAAAAATCCCATTCTGAAAACAAATATGCAACTGTAAGGGTTTCAAATATATTGTGATGTCAATATTTATTAAATTCCCAAAATGTCAAATATTTGAAATATAAGAAAAGTGCAATAAGTGTAAATATCTTACACACATACACACACACACACACACACACACTATCAATAAAACAGTGTGCATCTGAACTTTAGCTTTCACGTTGTCTGCCTGGAGTTTACCTTGTTTTTGGAATGACTCCAAAAGTGATTCCTGACAGCTCCTTTTGTCTTTCCGCCCCCTGGCTAGAAAATCCTCGTGCTCTTTCGTGTGGTGCTTTTTTAAATGTTTGATTGCGTTCGTAGTGTTGTACGACGCGAGGGAGCTTCCGCCTCTCTGAATTACGGCTTTGCAAACATTGCATTTTGCTGTCTTGCTCTGCGGTGTTTCCAGTGTAAAGTATTTCCACGCAGCGGACATGTCGGCTAGCCACAATGCTGCTCAATGCTATCCTGCTAGCTGGCTGCAAACTGCGGAATGGATTTCCTGAGCAGGGAGCAGACTAGCCGGCAGGAATCCCTTGTGGCGTCATTTCAGCAGACAACGTTAAAGCGCACACATGGCTCATGGATCGGAAATATGCGCAGGTTGGATCGGAAAATTCCGATCCGTGAATTACGCTGGTGTCGGTCCCGATACCGATACTGGATCGGATCGGCCCCATCCCTAAATATCTTTTGTCCACACAAGTTGAATTCCTACAGCCAATACAACAACAACAAAATTAAAGCTCATGCAGACTGAAATCCTCACTGGGTCCAAAACATACTCATCATTTTATTGTTGGTAGAGTAGCTTGAGGTTTCCACTTCTGCCAACATTTAGTCAGCTGATTTTCCACAGGCATACAGCACCGCTTTTGTTTCTTTGAATTAGTGTAACTTCATTGTGGTAGGCGCCACGTTGCACAACTGCAGTAGCCATGGCAGCCACACAAACCACTACCTTTAGCCGTATTATGATTGTCAAAGTGCCAGAATCTCACCAAAAACGAATAATGCCCTGCTTTTGTAATTCTGAAGAAAACCTGGAACAAGGGCACAGCTTCATACAAGCTTCCAATACAGGTCAGCTGTATTACAGATAAACACTTGTGATTCAATGGAGCTGTCAATCCAAGGCCTCCTAAGAGCTTTTTGGGGGGCAGACGGACTGACTATGAACAAGGAAATAATGAATGAATGAATAAATTATTAATTATTATTATTAATTTGTTTTTCTGTCTCCAACAATCTGTCTGTAGTTCATCATAAACCAACCAAGTGAGGCTGGTCTAGGCTGTAGTGGGCTGTGTTACATTTTATGGTGCATATCCCATAGGCATAGCATAATTTATGGCCTCATAAAGGCATGGTTTAAAAAAAAGTGTAAGTCTGCTAGGTGGAAACACCTTGTGTATGAAGAGGTGTTAAATGTAGGTTAACTGTTCTGAACTCTACTTGATCTAGACTTAATGTCAAGTGGATTGGCCAGGGCTGGTTTTCCCAAACACCCTCTTAGCACTCAGATTAGGTTTGCTCTAAGGACTTATACAGAAACAGACTGGATCGCAGCACTTAGACAGCTCCCGGGGCATTCAGTGCGGAGGCTTTTCACCAATATGGAATGCCAGTCACTTGACTGCCGTTGATCTGTCTGCATCTGCCTGTCCCTGCCTCTCATCTGATAATTCCTCTCTCTTCCTGTCTCTCTCTCTCTCTCTCTCTCTCTCTCTCTCTCTCTCTCTCTCTCTCTCTCTCTCTCTCTCTCACAGTCACATTGAAAGGTTTCGGGTTGCTGGCTTTAAGCCAGGGAAATGTTTGGTGTGTGAATCACAGTTCCCTCTCGCTTGAGCTGAGGTTTCAGTTCCGGTGTGAAAACACTAGTGGGAACATTGGCGTCAGCTGGGTATGGCAACATGTCATACTCCCTGTGTGAACCTCAGCCAAAGTGAGCCCAAAATAACATTTGTTTTGAATCTGTGAACTGGAGTTGGTTTGCAGCAAAAATCAGACATTACTGACATTAGTTCCAAGTCTCAAGGTTTCTTAAGTTTCATTCCTCGACCTCACAACCTACGTAGCCCAAGTCTGTGTTTTCCTCTCCTCATCGTTGAGCGTAAAACAAAATTAAGCCTGACTGCCTGACTGAATTTTTGTGTATGTCTGTGTGCCCAAGGTCCAGTATTCTGCTCAGAGGATGAGACTCGTCTGGTGAAAACCCTGTTTACTGGTTACAACAAGGTGGTTCGTCCTGTTAACCACTTCAGCGAGGCCGTAGTGGTCACCGTGGGACTGCAGTTAATACAACTTATCAGTGTGGTAAGAGAGATGGAAAGAGTGGTTACTGGGAAAGGCAACATCAAAAACTAAAGCTAAAATACATAATGTGTTTTGTTTAAGACCATCTGTGGGTTACCAAACTCGGTATTAAACGGGGCCCCAAAGCTAAATATAATGCAATGATATAACGATACACTAAACTCAATATTCAATGCAATTCTCAATAATGGGTTTAGAATATGACTTTTTCACAATTTACTTCAACAAAATGAGATTGAATACCAACTACAACTTGATCAAACAAGCAAAGACAGAAGTAGATAGCGCCCTCTGCTGTTTTAAAAGAGTATCATAATTCATGTTTAATCTTACCAATTTAAATCTTCACACCTTTGTATTGCTATTTAACTGTCATAATGCAAGCCAACAGTCCCATTCATCAGAGAAAAAGTCACAACAAGTTACTTAAGCAGTACTGAAGCATATGTCCCTGTCTTTGGTACTGAAATAGACTAGGCAGGTCTAAAAACCTTGTCAGAAAATGAAGAAACAATGTCATTTTATGCACTGGCCAAGTGAAGTGAAATAACAACAAAAGATACAACACTTACAGCACTAATCTGCAGTGCACTCAAGAAACAAGGTTTACCTTTATTAACCACATACAGAGAGCGAGTCACCAGTTTTTACACCACGTGAGGGCATGGCAGTCAAAACAATGCAAACAATGCAATTCAGCCAGGAAGTTCAATGTAAAGACCAAAGCTACGACTCGCTTGAACTCAGCCTCCACACTCAGTCAATGAGCACAAAATACAACCAGGTGACAGTGACCCGTGCACAGCTGTCACCTAAAGGTTACGCTTAAATGAATAGGTCATGTATGCCACCCTTACCACTGATACAGGGTGATGGCACGGCGGCTACAAGCAGCACAACACAAGCACAATAAGAGAAAGCTGCTCTTACTGTTCGGAGCTCTCCTTCTGGGTCTTTCTCCAGCGGCAGCGGTGTCGAAAGATGGAGGTCGGCCTTGAAAAGTCCCTTGACGACCTTCACTCTTTTTTCCTCTTCTTCTCTTCGGGTCGCAATGCTCAGCTTTCCCCACAAGCTGTTGATAGAGGACAACAATTAACTCGCTCAAGTAGTGTTGACAAACAACTTTATTGCTGCTAGCCAAACAAGCCATTGTCCCTTCTTACCATTAACGTTAGCTAGCCTTAACTACACCGAAACAAAGGTTTGAATCTTTACCGTCACTGGCATGTTTAACGGTAAGGCGGCTGGTGTCTATCTGTCAATGGTGTCCATGTCCAAGAACTTTGTCTTGGACTCGAAAACCTTCTGTACAAAACTTTTTCAGTCACGTTAAAAGTCACGTTCGTGTTTTAATCAACGGATATTTAATTGCGCGTGCGCATCCGCCTGGCCTTCAAGTCCAAATTGAGGGAACATTTTTTTGTTTCTTATAAAATATAATAAATAAAACAGAGCTCTTAAAAACAAAATAAATGTTTATAAGAATACAAATTCTAAATAAATCTATGAAATCTAAATCTCTAATCTGTTGTCTGTCTTTTTCTGCCTCTCAGGATGAAGTTAACCAGATTGTGACCAGTAATGTCCGTGTCAGACAGGTAAATATGCAAGATAACCATTCATTTATAAACCCCAATAACAATGATAAATAGGTCACAAGATCAACAACTTAAGTGGATACTATATTTTAAATATGTAAATTTAACAACATTAAATTAGGCCCCATATTTGTACTCTATTAGCTACTTCTCTTTCCTCACACTGTCAATGGTTTCTGTAACCTAATTCCCTTAAAACGAAAACTGTTAAAGTTTTTTACCATTATATACCTGCCATGCAGCGAGTTATCAGACTACTGAGCTGCTGCTGTAACTGATCACTTTTGTCATGTATTTAAATGGTTTGTACTTACCTGGGGAATATATTACACTTATTAGATTTGTGAGCTTTTTGTTTGTTCTGCTGTGATATGTACTGTACATCACAACTTTTCTTTTTATGTATTTCCACAATGTGTGAAGTGGATAGGATTTTTTTATTTATTTAAATAATCTTCAAAAGGAAAATAAACTACTGAATGTCACTACATTAGACCAAATGATCTTGCATTTTACAATGTTCACCCCAGCAATGGTTAGATGTGAACCTGAAGTGGAATCCGGATGAATACGGAGGCATCAGGAAGATCAGAGTCCCTTCAAGTGACATATGGAAACCTGACCTGGTGCTATACAACAAGTAAAAACTCTCTGTTCTCTGTTTGTTTGGTATATTAAATGTCCTTAAAACGTCTCACTGCTCCTCTCCTCTGTCACTCTCCTCCTCTGCTGCAGTGCTGATGGTGACTTTGCCATCATCCATCAAACCAAAGTCCTGTTGGAGCACAATGGGAAGATAACATGGAACCCTCCAGCCATCTTTAAGAGTTACTGTGAGATTATTGTGCTCCATTTCCCATTTGACCTGCAGAACTGTAGCATGAAACTGGGAACCTGGACATACGATGGCCTGCTGGTCGTCATCAACCCAGTGAGTGTAATTTATAGATTCACAGAGTTATACTGACAGTTATGGCAAATGTTGTTTCAAATATACAACATATTGAGTAACCATATACCCTGAAAAATAATTAACTTAACCATGTAAACACCATAATTTAAAACATGCAACCCACAAATACCCTTAACTTCAACCCCTTTGTAATACCCTTTTCGATTGTAGTGCCTTATTTTCGACTCTTCTGCCTTTTAGGACAGCGATCGGCCTGACCTCAGTAATTTTATGGAGTCGGGTGAATGGGTGCTGAAGGACTACAGGAGCTGGAAACACTGGGTTTACTACACCTGCTGTCCCGACACACCATACCTTGACATCACCTACCATTTCCTGATGCTGCGGCTGCCTCTCTATTTCATTGTCAACGTCATCATTCCCTGCATGCTGTTCTCTTTCCTCACCGGACTGGTCTTCTACCTGCCTACTGATTCTGGTACGTAGTCCGGGTGGGAAAATACTTTCTAAAACTTTAATGGCGGTGACTATATAAATTAGGTAAGACCATGCTGCATTTTCACCAGTTTGTGCAAGTAACCCATTTCATATGTATTATTTCACATGTGGCGCAAAACAGATATGTATCATGACATTTTCAAACCCTTTAGGGTGACTTTCATATGTGGAAAATCCATTAAACCGTAGAGCATAGAGAAAACACTCAAATGTCAACCCAACATTTATGGCCACCAGTATAATGCAATATGTGATACTGATTTAAACAATGCATTGGCAATATACCTCAAATTCAGGTGAGCTCTGTACAATAAATAGCAGAAATAATAGGCAGTATTCTCAAGTTTGGCATCAAGACTGTAAATGTAGCCTGAAAGTGCGTCTTTGTGTGTCCAATTTCTGCAGGTGAAAAGATGACTCTGTCCATCTCTGTCCTGCTTTCTTTGACTGTGTTCCTGCTGGTTATTGTGGAGCTGATCCCCTCTACGTCCAGCGCCGTTCCTCTCATTGGGAAGTACATGCTCTTCACAATGGTGTTTGTCATCGCCTCCATCATCATCACTGTCATCGTCATCAACACACATCACCGCTCGCCCAGCACGCACACCATGCCCCCCTGGATCCGCAAGGTTAATGTTCTGTTTTTATTATCTACCTGTGTTCATTTCAGAAATGTTCTTGATGTATGTGGCTGAGGAAAACGGTTTGAAAGGAATTTGACCAATATCTGCATCTGTCTGTCTCTAAGGTCTTCATCGAAACCATTCCCAACATGATGTTCTTCTCAACAATGAAGCGTCCCAGTCAGGAGATCCGGCAGAAGAGACTGTTCCCTACTGACATGGACATCTCTGATATATCAGGCAAGGCTTTAACTAAATTCCACAAACAGCAGTATTTCTGTGTATCCCCACAACTATAACCTGTCCCTGCTCTCTCCTCTGCAGGTAACCCCACCCCCACCAGTGTCACTTACCAGTCTCCCATCACTAAAAACCCTGATGTTCGCAGCGCCATTGAAGGGGTGAAGTACATCGCTGAGACCATGAAATCAGACGAGGAATCTAATAATGTAAGACAACGCCTGTATGAGTAATGTGTGTGTGAACCTAACTAATTTTCTACTTTCTAAAATTCATGAAAGAGCTGTGAATTCAGCTGGTCCATATGTTTATTGATACACTAAAAAGCCTCCACTACAAATAGCAAAAATATAATCGTATTTAGTGGACAAGATGTAACTGTTTTCAGTCTTTGTGCACACCAAAGCTAACCAGCTGCTGGCTCGTTTCTTATAATATTTCTTCAATAAGCGTTACTTGCCCAAATGTCAAACTTTCCCTTAGAATTCATTAAGATCTGTAATATTTATACGTATAAACAAATGAGACAAAAAAACAACAAAACTTAAATTAATTCATAATTTACCACATTGAAAAGTCTCTTGTGTGTCTGTAAAGCAAATTTTAAAACACGAGCAACAAAAAATGTCATCAAAAATCAACTATATTGCCTTTATCAGAATATCACTTACCAATTAGTAAACACCCAAATTATGTACATCCAAAGTTATATGTTCTCAAACATGACTTTCCCACTTCCCTGTCTCATCCCATTCCAGGCAGCAGAGGAGTGGAAGTTCGTTGCCATGGTTTTGGACCACATCCTGCTTTGTGTGTTCATGGCCGTGTGCATCATCGGGACGCTTGCCGTCTTTGCCGGGAGACTCATCGAGCTCAACCTGCTGTAGACGCCTGACCCACAAAGGAGGGTTTTGTGTTATCTGGATAGACATCACACTTGGAGATGCATCAGAAAAGTCTTCATCATCGGACTGATTCAGGCTGTGTTTTCTCTTTTTCTCTCTCCTTCTCTCAAACAGTTTGAGTTGATTTTTAAATGTTGTAACTTCACTTTTCACTGTGTCACCTTCGAATGTGTGAGTTTGTGTATTTGAGGAGAATGCAGTTAAAGACAAATCCAGGCATCTTACAGGCATGGGTCTCTAGATGGGTCATACTTGAAGTTGTTGTAACTAACAGGTTTTCTAATCTTTTTTTTACAGTGTGTTATTGCTGCGATTCACTTTTGTGGGCTGTATTTTATTAGTCGTATGTAAAAACAATAACAGTAACAATTGATTTATTTTGTCTTTTCTGGCAGCTTGATTTAAGGTTTGGTTCTGAGGATTTAATTAAATGTTGAAACAGAAATAAACTTTAACATCATAAGATTTTCATTTCCAGTGTTGTGAGGATGCAGACTGAGAATGGATATTATTAGAAATCCCATTACTGTAGGTCAGTCGAGAGAGTGAATGTCTATGTAGAAACCCGACTTGGATGTTACAGGTAGGGAAAGAAGATGTGTTCAGCTTACTCATTTAATTGTATTTCAATCCAATTTAAAGAGTCTGGTTGATGAAACAGACTTGGTTTTTGAGTGCAGGCAAGATATTTTCCTGCCTGGAAGTTTTATTGTTTTGTTTTGCCTGACACTCATTTGACTTCTAAACTTCTCATTCATATTTATGGGTTAAGGTTGTGAATTGTGCAAACATTCATGGGTTAGTGGCAAGGTTTGCTTTGTTACTGATGCATGTAAATTCCTCTTAACACTGTTGTACAGTTTGTCTAGAGCTCATTAGTTTTTAATATAATTGTTCAAAATCAGTGATTTTCAACCACACTGAAGGCCTGTGGTTAAAAATCTATGTAAACTGATCTGCTGCTTTAAAAATAACTTGTTGTAGGTTGAGTTGGTAAATGTGTCGAGGAAGGTAGAGACAACGTTTGTCAGAGGAACTGTTCCTCTTACGGTTTAGCTTCTTCTTGCACATGGAGATGTTCCACTAGTGACCATACGTCCAAATGATTATTTGAATAAATGAGGTAAAATAATTGTTACTAATTTATGGAATTTGGGATTAAAGCTAATTAGAATTGTGTTTGGTGCAGCTTTAAATGTGCCGTAGAAAATTCAGCGGCATAGCAAAAGAACATTGTTCTGAATGTGAAAAAAGTTCATGAAATTTTAATTTGAAATATCACAGGTGCGGCGTTGTTGCCTGTGTTAACAGCAACCAGCTGAAGGCAAATTGATTTATTTTGCATCTGTGATTCCTTATGAGACAGCTGTCCTATTGTGCTCATTTATTGTTTTTTATATTTGCAGTTATGTAGATGTGAAAGAGTGAAAAATAAAAGTCATTCATCGTTAATTGTATGCCATTAAATCATTTCTGGTATTATGGTGGTATGGTTATCTAAAGCTCAGACTTCACTATGTCATTGCCTCACTGAATCTTACTTTTTTTACATAACTCTTATTACTTATTTTTGATAGCATGCTTATAATCTAGAAGTGACTGTGCACTTTATAGGTCACATTTCCCTGGCAAACTATAACTTTTTTCAAGTAAGACACTGTAGTCTAATAAACAGATTTGTTCACTTTCCCCTAGTGGCATCTGGCTTTGCAGAGTGTTTCAATTGGTCTAGAACTACATTAATCTGTGCAGTGGACATGGAAAGTATGTACGAACCAGAACAGAATAACTACAGTCTTCCTTTGTTGTTGAAAACTTTTATTAGGCGTGCCATGCGCACACTTAATGACAAGCAGCATAACTGATAAATCTAGCAGAGAAAAACAAAACTACAAACACAAAGTATTCCACTGTCAGTGTGTGAGATAACTTGTTAAGGATCTAAAAAAATGTTTTAAATATGTGAGTGTCAGCTCATCACCAGTAAGTATAATGAGGGATACAAAGCTTGGTACCACCGCTACTATCCAGTGAACCACAAGTCAGTACGCTGGTACAGGTAACATGATGCAACATTTTGCACTACATGTTGCAGCAAAAAACAGGAACAAAATCAAAATGTCAAAGCTGTGGCCAAGGAGTCAGGCAACAATAAATTCATTACATTACTCTCCTCAACAAACAAAGGTTTGTCCAAAAGCACTTTTGCTGCCGTGTCCACATTAAGAAGGCTAGCCTTCTTTAACTTTACAGACAACTTTTGCCAAATGATTCTAGATTAAGGAGGTCAACAACAGAATTGGTGTGACAATCCAAAATTGTCAAATATACCCCTCAAGAATATTTTGCCCACTTAGCCAGGGTGTGTTTTTAGGACCACACCTGTGTAACACAGGTGATACAATAAATCTACGTTTGCATAGACACTCACTATTTCTTCTGGCTCCATTTAATAACACTAGGCGCTAGTGCTGGCCAAATGAACCATGAACCTCTATGATTTTTATGTTGCCTCAGTAGCTACACATACGGCAGATTACACTGTAAACTAATGGAAACAACAGCAGCAACCAAACCAGGCATTAGGATGGCACCTACTGTGAGTGTACAACTTAAAATGTAAGCAAAACAAACAATTTTTTTTTTCAGTAAATGCTAATCTGCAGCAACTACACAGCTACAGTCCCCAACCTGGGCCTATACTTTTAAATAGTGACAGTACAATGGCATTTCCAGATTTTGCGTCTAATTGTTTAACCAAACTGTGCAGCAAAACCTGAATAACACATTAAAACACAATATGGCCAAATAAATACGAAGAGAAATTCAGTGCAAATGGGAGTAAGGAAACGCAAATACGACAGTGCATTTGACAAATGATAATCCTAGTGAGAACTACAGTTGGCAATATCCAGGTAGAGATAAATTGGCAGTTTTAGCTGCAGTCTGTTATTTTTTTCTCATCCCTCAAATGTGTAAAGTTTCAGTTTATTCATTGTTAGCATTGCTCATCAAGACTAATGCTATCTTTTATATGTTAGCTTAGGTTGACAGACCCCATCTCAAAGACAGATCTTCATAAAATCAAACATAAATTTAATTGTACCGGCTCACTTTTCCAATACTTCAAAAAAGCTTGGTTAAAAAAAATAATAACTGAAATTATTCCAGTCCAACTTCTCTAGACACGATGCGTGCACGTTGTTTCTACCCAGGGAGAGCAGACCAAGCTGCAGGGTAACACTAACTGATGAAAGGAGTCATACATTTAAAATAGCCGACTAACAAACACACACCTCTCCTCAAAACGAGTTCAGTTACGGCACTCAGTGTTCTGGCTAACTGCAGTATTAAGTTGCTGCTGACAGACGTTCAGCAGCAACAAGTCAGGCTGCACTTAACTGTCTCACCAACAGAGAGGAAACAAAGGCATAGTGGTCACCAGTCAGTGTATAGACTGACTTGCAGCAGCTGTTTTCTCCGGTCAGTGTCATCCATTTACTGGAGATGTAAGTACTGTTATACGCCCTGGTCTATTACTTTTGTTCGGCCTACAGAACCTTTGTTCCTTGTCCACTAGATCAGAGTGCAGCTAACAAGGACAACATTAGCTTCAGATGCACAAACTCTAGTTTTCTGAGTAACCTCTCATATCCCAGATACCGCTCCTCTGACAAGCTAATAAAACATTTTTAAAAACTCATACATTTCGGCTGGATAAAATGTGTACATGCATCGGTGTTAAATGTGAGCATAACAAACTTATCCAAGATTTTTTTTATATTTAGGCTAAGATGGGGATTTAAAAACAGGAGATGAAGAAAGCCACAGCATTACCATTAAATTCTATGGCATTCTTGTGTGTACTGTAAACACAATTGATGAGGTCCCAATTCACAACAGGTTTGTCTTAAGAGGCACTTTTTCATGTTTTCTCATTGACCTTAAATGAAAAGTGTTTGTACGCTAACCAACAAAACAATAAATAGTATGTATGCACTATACTTAATTTGGCATCATAATTATATTGAGCAAAATCAACCGATACCACACACAGTGCGGCCGCGCTCAGTGAAGGAGGTTCCATCTAAGCATGCATCTAAGAACAAACCATTTGTGAACCAGCCATTCTATCTAAAATCTTAACCCTTTTCATAAACAAATCATACAGCAGTCAACTACTTCAAACTTAAAACCTAAATCATAGAATACTGAATAAATATCTCACATATAGAGCATCTTCAGCAGCCAACTACTCTATCATGAAACAGCCTTAAGATTAAAACTACAATCAATAGTCCTATACCTTCCGGCCATGATATGTTGGAATCATTTTAGGCAATATCATTGGACAATATTAAAATTAAATATGAAGTACATTAAAATTTAGATCCTCATACTGCATTATTTTCTTAATTAAGAATAGACACCATTTACCAGACATATCATCTACATAATCTCCTCTAATGGCTTTGTCTTAGTATGATGATCTTTTGATGGTGAAAAATGTCAAATTTAAACAAAAAAATATAAGGTTTAAAAAGTTTTTTAAAAATGTAAGTTAAAATCTGCAAACTGAAATACCAGGGAGATTGGCAACGTTTTTGGTTGCAAGGAATAAAGAGATCATTGTTGGTGACAGTCCTTGTCCACCTATATTGCTTTAAAATGCCAACTGCCTATCATGGCCAATACCAACACTTTTTGTCTGGACAGAATGATCAGACGTCACTGGTCCTCTTCTAGACTCTCGGCAACTACAATGGCTGAGATTCTGTCTCGCAGGCAGCACCTGGACTCTGCTCCGTTTCCATTTCTTCCTCCTCCTGAACCACTTCTTCACCTTCCTCCTCCTCCTGCTGCTGCTGCTGCTGCTGCTGCTGCTGCTGCTGCTGCTGCTGCTGCTGCTGCTCTCCTGTGATTGGGTCTCACTCTCTACTTCTGTAGTGGGTCCTTCGTCTTCCCCCACCTCTTTCTCATCTAAGGATAAGAAGTGTAAGTGAGATGCGCACAGTATGCACCCAGGAAGCGAAGACACAGAACAACAGGGAAGGAAGGGTGAGAGAAAGAGCATTCAAGACAATGTGAATAGTTTCCAATACAAGAAATGATTGGTTATTGGGAGTTAAAATCAGCAGAATTAGCAGCATTCCCTTTGTTACGGTTAACAGTTTAACAAGAGCTGACTGAACAACAGAGATGGGAGAAGCAGAGAACGTAAGAGGCTTTACTGACATCCCTTAAAACCCTCGTTCTCCCATCTAACAACACAGTTTCAAAAGGGAGAGTTCAAAGGTTCTCTGTTTAACACAAATAAAACCCCTTCCACCATTAAAATCAATACCAAAGGCTTTGGTGTTACAGATACAAATATGTTAAGAACATAATATAATTACAATTTTAGAATCATTGCTTCTTAAAGTAATGCTTAATATGATTCACTGTGGATCAAAAAATCAAATTGGATTCTCAATCCAAACACACCAATTTTTTCAAACTTAAAGATTAATTCCATTTCATAGAAAATAATCATAAATCCACACCATGGCAAAATGAAGAATTGAGCCCCATTCAGACAGGATTCATTTTCCCAGAGGAGATGGGTAATAAAATTGTTACTATTTTCTATTCTATTCTATTCTAACTTCTTGCAGACCACAACAAGAATATTCTATAGGAATGACATACATCTTCTACTGTGTGTAAAAACTATACTCCAATTATTACTCTTATAGGGTAAAAATGTGCTATGGGTAGGATTAAAACCCCAAATCAAAGCTCTAACATTAAAATCATCCACGCTCCCATAAAGAAATACATCTTGTCCCAATGGGGGTTCAATGACCGGAGACAAAATTACACTTTATGCACAAAATATTTGACTTGTGTTTTTTTTTTTTTTTTTACGTAAGCTGAACCGACCAGGCACAAACTCTGGTCTCTTTTGGTCCTAATGTAGGCATAGAGGACACATGTTAAAAAGAACATGTTAGGCATTTGAGACAATTTAGACATCGACTACGTAGACTGGAGAGCAAATCCTACAATTCGATTAGCAAGCTCGTCTAAATATTTTGTGCACTTAGTGAACACCAGATCTGGGTCAAACGGGTATAATAAGTCAATAGTTTGGTTTAGCATTTGCTAAACCAAATGTTAAAGATTTATCCATCAGGATTCAGTCCAGTTCAGACAATAGATACTAGATCAGCTGTCAATCAAGAGTTTCTGTGATTGTATAAACTTTGCAGGATGAATTTTAGTTCTCTATATAGAATGAATGTACTTGTACACCAGTTTAACCCAGGTCTAGTGTAAAGATCCAGTAACTGCTAAAACCCATTGTTTCTTTAGTGTGATTAAAGGTTTTTGATGGTCTGCGTTCTAATGTTACAGATTCTACAGCAAAAGAAATTTGACTCATTCTGGTGTAATCAAATCTATCAAATCAGTTCAAATTAAGCCAGATCAGACAGTGCAGGGAGAGGAGGGGGAACCTGGACTCTGCCGAGGGCGGTTCTGAGGATTCTTTGGATTCTGCTGCATCTGGAAACTGTGGACCAAATTCCACGGAGCCGGAGCCTTGGCTAGAGGCAAGATCACACTGTTAAACCCACTGGCCACTATAACGTAACACGGTTAGTGTGCTTACACCCTTCAATGAATGTAGAATTTGATGGATGCAGGCTGATGTAATACATGGTTATTCTTATTGCTTCTACTATGACCTGAGCATCTTTTTTTTTTAAACCAGTCTGTAATGTTGGAGTGCTGTTCACTGCTTCTGTTGTACTGTTCTACTGGCCTGATTACTGTCACATGCACATAGTTTCCAAAATATTACTAACTCAGTGGAAATTTGGGTAAGACATCTTAAACTGATATGCTAGCCTGCAATAGTTTAAAAGAGAGGAAGCAAACAAAGTTGTCTGCATATTTGTCTGCAACTGTTTTGGTTACTAGGTGGGATTGTGTTGCAACAAGAAAGTTGTTTGCAATTTCTTTTCTTTGTTGCTTCCTGTGTAAAGAGGATAGTGACATTTGAAGGTGGTGGCGTCTCACCTCGGCTGGCTCATTGCTCACTAACAACTACAACAGGATAAAAGCTGACATCATTAAAGTTGGGAAAAAGAATCAAACGCAAACAAATTAAAAAAGGTCAACTGGAGCACTGTACTAAGAAGCATTTAACACGGGCTGTTAGGATATTGAGTAAGTAACATAAAGATGCACAGAACAGTTTAAGTATGAGTGTTTGTTGGGGGGGTCTTTCAGCGATATACCACACTTGTTCAGTATCTTGGTTTCAAAGTCTGAACCAATTTTCTCAATTCACTTCTTATCTCAGATTCAGAGCTAATTCAGTTTTTGTCTGATCTTGGATGTTTGTTCAGCCAATCAATGTCTGACTGTTGTTCCAGTGTGTGTTAATAAGGACAGATATGATTCTGTACTTGTCCACAGTTTTAGCAGTGGTTCCAATTAGGACTTGCTTCTTTCAGCTTTGTTCACACTAACACAAACCGCTTTCACTGTTTTCTCAATTCAGACCTGAGGAGACCTGATCTTGGTTGGTCTTGCTTGCTGCTTGTCTGTGTATCTGTGTTTTTCAATACCTCCAGAAGGGGGCGCGCTCTCCTCTGTGTCTGTCCCAGAACGAGGCGTTGGTCCAGGGGAACGTGATTCTGCTCTCAGCCTCCTCTCATAGCTGAACTCTGGAAGCCTGGGAGCCTGAGGGCGTGTCTTCCTGGCAGGATTTAGGAAGTAGCAATATGCACAACGGAAGGCTGGGGGGGTTGGAAAAAGAAAGGGAGGAGGAAGAAAACAAGAAAGAGAATAAGAAGACATTGTATCATCTATCAAACTATGGCTATGCATTATAATAACTTTCTTGAGTTAATAATCTCAAACACTCAGCTAACATTATGTTCTCTCTTAATTGAGATACTCAGATACTTAACTTAATACTTATTAAATGTAGTGCTGCATTAGTGTTCTTACCTAAATATTCAAACTCTTCTTTCAGAGCCATCCCGTTATGAGAAAAACACTGTTGGCAGATCAGAGCATATCTATAGGAAGGAAGAAGGGACAGAGAGGAGAAGAAAACCGTTTGATATAATCATTTTTTGATATTCAGTGTTATTTGGTTAAAGTTGCTTGTCTATTTCCCTTAGTGATTACTTGTTTCCTAGAGGACTTCTAATAACCGCTGGAGACATGCACCCCAGAGTATGTACTTTGCCTTTCAATCAAAGGTTAACACATGCATACACATACATACATAAATAATGTATAATATGACATATGGATGACGAAACAAGTCAGTTAAAACGGTCCAAAGATTCAGTAAATCTGAGATTGGAAGATGATTCTAGCTCTGAAAGGCCCAACCCACTAACATGGTCTAAATATGACTAAACACCACTCCCTTGTCTCTGCAGAGACAATGTGCAGACTGCTCAATAAGAATGGAAATTTGGGAGTAAGTTGTAAGCTACTCCCATAAGGGATTTGAAAGAAAGAAAAAAGGGTCTTCACCTGTTCTGTGGTCCATCTCCTACCAGGTACTCAATGACTCGGTCCACAGCTCCTCTGTCTTTGGGCAGAATGGGTCTTGCTAATGGAGGACCTGGTGGATGCATACCTGCAAAGACAGTCCACATAAACGTAAATTTTCTTTTTTCTCAAACATTAACGCCAAGATACGCTCAAAGGCTTTACAACCTACCTACACCTGGTATAGGGGAGCAAGGGGTCCTGGGCACTGCCCCCTGGAGGATAGAGGCAGACAGAGCAGATCTCTCCGGCGGTCCTCCTGGAGCTGAGAGAGGAACAGGTTCTGTAGGGAGAGCAACATGGGATAAAGACACAAACAGATGCCTAACCGGACTGAGACAAAGGCAACTGGACATAGGAGGTTAATTCCAGTTGCCTTTGACTTAGTACTTCGCCCATGACCTGGATGCTGAGAATCTGCACAGACAGGCTAGACTTGACTTGCAATATTCCTTGGTGAAAGAACACAACTCTCACTGTCAACTCACGATGCTGTATGGACCTGCCATCAAAGTAGATTCACTTACAAACTGTGATACTTCATCACAATGTCAAAGTATCTCTGTGTGCCCCCTTACCCACAGGTGTGCCCCCGGGTCCCAATGGGAGTCGTGCTCCAACAGGAGTCATTGCCATTGCAGCCGGGGTTCCCGGCATGGGTCTCATTGCCACCCCTCTCTGTCGAATCTCTACAAATAGGAGAGAAATTCATCATTCAACTTTTAATGAGTCTATCCCTTTAATCACTATTGTAGAGACAAGGAATCACTTTTTGTAGCTCTGGTCTCTGGATAAGTCCAACCTGAGCTCAATCAAACAACACTCGACAACATTTAAATGTGATGCTTTATCTTTCTGTTGTGTATTGATATGTGTCGTACCTTGTCCTGGTCTGGGAGTCATCTGAGGGCGCACCGGAGTCGACTCCAGCTCCTACAACATAACAGCAGACCAAACAAAAGTCAAACCAAACAAATATACAATAAAAGATAAACAAACAGAAAAAGTAAATAAATGCACAATGGTACTCACAGCTTTTTTCTTGGCTTCTGGATCAAAGCGCTCCAGGATGAGTTTGGCATTTTTGTACGTCTCTGTCTCCATCACTTCCTCCAGCTGGAAACACAGAAAAGGGAAACCTACGTTCTAACATGCAGACTAAATGGTCGGCTTTGGTTAAAACACAAAGGGGCAGTGGGTCACGGGCAGGCCTAATCTAGAGGCATCAGTATTAAATTGAAATCAGTTTCAAAACCAGTTAAAAACTTCTTGTAGGGGCTTTAAACAAGTCATTAAAAAAAGGGTGAAGAATTGGACACTTACAATCTTTTTTTTGGAAGCCTTTAAATCTTCTAGTTTATCACCTAAAAAAAAAAGCAGAAATAACTTTAACTTTAGTTAAGTATGACAATAGTTAACCTAGAATCAACAATACCTCAAAAAGATATGTTATGGATGGACAGATGGACAGAGAGGGAGCGACAGACGACTTACTGTTTCTCTCAGTGCGTTTGGAAAAAAGAAAGACCAACAACTTCCTGATGAACCACACCCTGATGATGAGAAATAAAAAGATGCAGCTGTTCTTAATACGGTTCCAAATAAAAGAAAGAGGGTATTAAAATAACATTTTAACGGCACAGCTAAGTTGCTGTGGACCAGATTAAAAATTACACATCTATACTTTGCAGAGGGTTGTGAAGGATATTATAAAAAGTCCACACTCACAGCACAGGGTATATGAAGAAAGGCAGGGCCATGGCTAGTCTCTGCAACCATTGTTCAGGTAGGTAGAGACAGTACACGATCAGAGAGGTCAGCAGGTACAGGACTGACGAGTAGAGAAGCAACCGACCGACCCACAGCTGCAGACAGATACACACAAATAAACACATGGATGAGGAAAAAGAAACTACAATTCAAGAATATTACTGCACATCTGGGCTGCTTTACCTTTTGCAGACGTTGGTTTTTGGCTCTAAACTCCTCCAGCTCTTTAATCTCCTACAAGGGAAACATTGAGTTTAAAGGTTATTAAACAGTGCAAAGAACCTTTGTTTGGAGTTGATCACCAGTTGTGAGTTTCCAGGAAAGCTATTTCCTTAACTTAGTTATGTTCTATTTGTGTTTTGATTTCATTCATACTAAAGTATCAGTGACTGTTTCAGGTTAACACAAGTATTCACATTTTCAATAAAATGGTGACCTTTCTGACGAAGCAGGATTAATGATTTTAGCTGGAACTTTGGTGAGTGAAAAGGGGGATTTTCTGCCCAATGTTCAGTGGGATCCCCCAATAATTCAATAATCCTGCTTTTGAGAGGCCCCAGATGACTGTATTGTATTGTGTACATTCATTATGAAAAACTGAAATGCAAAGTGTGTCTAAGAAAGACAGGCCATCAATTTTCTGTGTCAGGCGTTGTGTAAGTACATAAACTCAGATACAACGTTTAGTCAGTACCTTGTCAATGCTCTCCAGCTGCTCAACTGTGGTTGGCTTTGTCTAGATTGAGGATAAAAATTGTTTAATTATCATCAGGTTTTTTAGAACAATTAGGGGCCTGTGTCCACATAGCATTTCTTTCTGGCAGAAAAACGCTGGCAGGGTGCTAGGATTTTGTTTCTATGACAACAATATCTCGACAAATTCTAACAATTGGCTATTAGCTTAACAAGGACGCTGTGGTTGTGTAAAGCAATAACTGCAAACTACTTCTGCTTTTCCTAAATGTTACGCAACTCCCTTCACTTCACTCAATTCACTGTCTCCACTGCATCCAGCTGTGTGTATGAGTGTAGGAACTAAGCCCCTACCACTGCCAAACATGCAGGGGAAAGACAGAAGCTAGTGCGACCATAAATGACAGTAAAACATGGTAGAGAACTCTCAGCATAGTTTTCTTCCTTTTTATGTTTCCTTTCTCTCTGTTATGACAGTTTCTGTCTGACGTATCATAAAGCTCAGGGTAGACAGGCAGAGTCAGAACAAGCTTTGCCTCCATTTTCTTGGTTACCAGAATAACGAACCCCCCATCTAATGTATGACTGGCTGACTGAAAATAAGCGACAGTGACGACACCAGCGCCTTTCTGAATAATTCAGAGAGTCTCTAGTCTAGTCTTCTAGATGCGCCCGCACAAAAACTGAAAACTGAAAAAAGACTGGGAACTATGTAGACACAGGCCCCAACACCCAGCAGTGTCACTCATAGCCAAGCCATAGATTCAGCACTGATTGATTTGTCAGTGAACAATAAACCCTGGTCCTGTAAAAACATGCTTACTTATCCATCATTCCCTTTGACTTCTTTGGTATGTGTTTAAAAATAGTATGTGTAAAAATATGAACTTCATCTAGCTCAGGTGCAGGGTACAGTGTATATGTATGTATCATAAAGTGGATCAGAATCCAAGACTTAACATTTTGATAAGTCTGATAAGACCAGACTTTAAATGCTACTGTTTTTAAAAACTTGACTGGTCCGGGTAGAGGGTCAGTCTTATGGATTTCTGTCTATCTTCAACCGGTGCCTGTATATTTTGAAACAGATTTTACTAATACTGGCTTAGTTACTGCATGACTTGGCTCAACAGATATGAGCCTTCTTAAATCCCTGTGATGAAAGTCATATTTTAAATGTCAGTCCCACCGACTGAAAGGTCCAGTGTGTAACATTTAGGAGGATCTATTGATAAAAATGGAATAAAACATTCATAGGTATGTTTTCATTAGTGTATGTTATCTACAGAGGGTGCATGTTCTCTTCCACAGAGACCGTCATGTTGAACCGCCATGTTTCTACAGTAGCCCAGAACAGACAAACCATTCACTGCTTCTCTACAGGCCTTTGGTGTTTTTCACCAGTATCTCGGCCACCGTAGTTTCTCCCACATGCGTGGAAGGTGAGCAGTATTCAATTGGTTGCAACCTTGGACCTTTAACTCTCATCCACTTACCTTCCACCGGGACAACAGGGCCCCCATATCTGTAAATTACAGTAGTCCCCTCTTTGATTCCTTTGGCTCACTATGGAACAGAAAGTCTCTGTTAAACAAAGCACATAATCCCTGCTGTTACATGAAGTTACACATTTTATGCTGTTGATTTTAAACACCACATATTAACCCTGACATGATATTTACAAAACGCTTACATCATCGCAGGATTTAGCACACTGCCTATACAACTGTACACAATGGCCAGCGTTGTTCTAGTGGATTTATTATTAAAATCTCTGCTTATGACTCATTACATAACTTAAAGAATCCAATGAAAATATGGGGCAGCACAGTACTGACAAATATTACGCTGCAAGGTAGGGCTTCTGCTGAAAACTGTCTGTGAAGTAGTTTACATCAAATAGCATATTCCATTATATATTCAGCAGTGAAAACTGTTCATGGCCAAAGCAAACACGATACACAGCTCGTTTTATCTCTGTGGATAGAGGGCAACATCTATTCAAAAGTTCTGATGACATCCAGGAGTGGTCTACCTTTTGAATAGATAAGACCTATGAGAACATGACTCAGTATTTTTTACACATGATTTAAGTCCACGTGTAACTGTGGTTGTGATATCACGGCTGCTGTTCTACCAGAACATTTTAGAGAAAAGACAATGAGCAAACAGCAAGAAATATTCAGGGTTTTTTTTACATAATACGAGTTTGCTAATATCCAGAGAGAGAGTGGGAGACAATAGCATACATATACCAACAATTAAACGGTGTATAACAAGTACGTTACATTTATTTAGCATTGTGTTGTCACGTTAGATCGGTAATCTGCACGTTTCCAGCTAATGGAGTTGAAGCTAACGTTAGCTGCTCCATCAAAACACTGGACACTTTACACCGCTGCTAGCAAGCACCAATAACGTTATGTAACCACAAAGAGTGGCTTTTAATCCCGTGAGCTTTGACTTTACGTTAGATATAAAGTTACATTTGGTTTGAATTAAACAGAACTGTTCCTAAAGGGTAACATTATGTTAACTGCTGTACCCTAACCAGCTAACGTTAGTTAATGTTAAGATAGCTTAGCTATGTTACCGCGTCAGTAACAGTTATCAGACTAGAAACCGACGTCGTTACGGCTGGTCTTCATTAGGCCCTCCATTGAAACAAGTACTTACATTAGGTAGTGTTTGAATGAGTCCGCTGACCGCTTCTTGGGTCAACTCAGTGCAGACAGCTGCAGACTGCTGCTGTTACCTCAACTGACATCACAACTGCCCAGCGAGAGTTGGCGCGGCGGCGTGGAGACGTACAGGACGTAACTTATGGATGACGTAACCCGGGAGCAGAGGTGGATTTGTTTTTCCCAGAGTCCTTTGCATTGTAGTTTCTGATGGGTTTTTCATCGATAAGATGTAGGGAGTGTTTAAGCATTACGGTTAAGGGAAGGATTGCGTTCAGAAACAACTTGGCAGATTTTTTTCAATTAAATCAACGAATTTAGTAAATAAATAAAAAACATGTTAATTAGTCGATCTGAATTGCTTGGAATGTCTCAAGTTAAATAATCCTGTATTTATTTTACCTTATGGACATGAAGTGTGCCAGTGTGCCGGAATTGGTGCCAGTATCCAGCAATCAATCATAAGAAATTATTCAATATGTGCACAATTATCATAATAAACATTCACAGCAAATAATGAGAAGACGGGAATCAAATAGGCCTAGTGAATACCAATATACAATAGTGAAAACAAATACACATTGCAATTAATAATAAAAAATAGCAATTATATTTAGAAATATCAGAATCAGAATCAGGTTTATTGCCATGTAGGTTTTCACATGTATGGCCTACAAGAAATTTGCCATGGTATAATGGTGCATAACAGTAAACCTACAAGGGAAAATATAAATAAAGATGAAATAAACACAATAAAAAGATACAATATGTAATATAAAAAGAAAACGATGTGACTCCCTGCAGTTTGTGGAGGAACGTGCAAAATACGAGAAAATGTGCAAGCTCACAGTATAATATAAAAGATATTTGCAATGTGCAACGTATCATAATAGGTGACAGGGTGGTGGGTGTAAGAGTCAGTATCAATGGGATGTCCCGGGCCTTGCGGGTGAGGCCAGCAGCAGATGGGAAGATATTGTTCTTTTGGTCCTCATGAGTCGCAGCCTCCCGCCATAGAAGTGTCTCAGGAAGTTTGTATCCGGGGAAGGAGGACAGCAGGAGGTCAGCCACAATCCTACCTGCAGGCCTCGTGGTCCTGGAGGCGCTCAGGTCCTGGAGGGATGGCAGATGAAAAATGAAAAATGAAAAATGAAATAAGAAAAGATAACGTCCAAAAAGGAACCCTATATAAATTAAATATAGCGTCATGGCTTTTAATGCAATTTTAAGCTGTAAATCTAGTTTTAGCCACTAGATGTCGCAACTGTATTATTCCACGTGAATGCAGCATCAAGTGAGCCGTGGGACAGAAAATAATATATTTTCATTGGGATGTCACCAAGCTGTGTACAATTACTGGTAATCTTATCGTTACACATGTCACTAAGTTCTTTTATTTGAATAGGATCACTTCCAAAATATCTGCAAAGTAATAATTTCCTTTCCATATGAACAGCTGAATAGGTATTTTCACAATAATGCTCTCTCTCCCTTCCTCTCTGCGGGTAACAACAGCTGGTGAGACACTTTGCACAGAGTTTTGAGATCACATGCTACCTGCACATAGTTTGGCAGAACCTCAGATATACATTTAAAATTTCATACTTTTGCTTCTATAAAAGTGACTTATTCTGCATAAAAGAATCTGGCCTGCTGAATATAACACACCAAAACAATCTGTGGCCCAGTCCGGCTCTTCAGACACGCACATGTGTTCTCATAGTGTTTCCACTGTGAGCGCATTGTAGACAATGTTGTGAAGCCGTGGAATCTCTCTAATATTCAGCAGCATTTTGTCAACTCCCAGCTGAGCTGTTTCAGATTAGGCTGCAGTGTGCAGAGATTTGGCCTTCAGCTTTAATGCTTACAGCTTCCTCTGGAGTCTGAAGAGTTATGGGCCTAATAAAATTCTCCCTCTTTCTCCCTCCCTCCCTCCCTCACTCACTCACTCACACACACACTCACACACTCACTCACACACGCACACTAGCACACACACACACACACACACACACACACACACACACACACCACAAACACACACACAACAATATGCTGTTGATGTATAATATAGCTGATGAATAATCCTGATGCTGATGTTATTTCCGTTTCATTAACCCTTAATAAATTAAACACTCTGAGTGAAAATTAACAGCAAGGATCTTTTTTTTTTTTTTTAATCATTCAGCAGCAGTCTGCTTGTCTGGGCCAAATGGATGCTGCAAAGTCACAACACACCAAAGAGTAATCACATCATGGGAATGTATCTGACAAAATAAAATAAAATGTGCATCTAAATTATATATTTTTTGTCAATGAAAGTAAACATGGAAATATATTGTGTGTATTTTTAATCTTGAACAATTTAATCTTTTAGTGAGCGTTCAGTAAAGTAACTCAATTGATTAGATATGTCTAAAATACATGTAACCTACATAGGCTACCGTAATTCCAGTAGATTTTATTTTACACTGTGACAAAAGTAGGCTGAAGGTAAACATTTGATTTGATCCGTTGAAACTGTCAAAGAATCTAAGAAATAAAACACTGAAAATCTGCGCAACATTGGCCAGTCCCTTAATCTATCTGCTGTTTTCCCCTGCAGTCTTACCTTTTCTTAATTAAACATATATTATTAACTGTATATACAGCTATCTGTACGATTGTAGGTTGCATATGATTAGATATTTTAGCCTCTTTTTATATTGCCCCCTCCACTGGGTCGCAGTGAGGATGAAAGGCCTCTTACACGCCACCATTTGCAGTCTTTTACTGACTGAACATTTCGAGTGGACGGCACATGGTTCAAAGACACTTTAGTTTGGGGGGGGTTAGACCGTTTATTGGACTTGGCAGTCAGTGTGTGTCTATCAAACACCTGCTTTAGGACAGACGACCGTGCCGACGCACAGCCCGTGAAGTTTGTCTGGATATTGCTGCTGCTCGGCCTTTAATCCACCTAACAAGGTAAGCCTCCAGCTTTATTTCGTTATTCGACTATTGACAGTCAATCACTATTTAATATATGTGATTATGCTTCATTCATTAATTTTATATTTCCGTCCTTATCTTCCTTTGCTCTCTTTAGTTTGTGTATGTTCCCCATCCAGCGCGCCAAACGCCCTCTGTAAATGCGCTACGTGCTGACATGCCTGAATGTTTCACTACATTATCTAAGAGAAAGATTACAGTAATACTTTTTGACTTGCACTTTCACTGAATGAAACGCAATTAATTGCGTTTAATGCGCAAAATGTCTTGTAGCCTACAAAATGTTGGTTTGTTTACTTCAAATGAACAAAAACAAAGCATTTTCACAACATGTAGCTATAAATCTACAGGATAGTGCGCGTTGACTAATGGGGTTAATGGATGCTAATTAAATAATTAATAAGGGTTTTAATATTTCAGCACCTCACACTTAAATAGCGTTAATGCTGCTGTGAGATTTCAGTGAAGACCCTGAGAAATCTCTCCCTCAGATTACTACTACTAATAATAATTTAAAAAATCATAATAATAATAATAATAACCTACTGATAATATTGGTAATCAGGTCTAGGCCTATAGCCACGGTCTGACGGTTAGATTATTTTTTTTTTGTCGTTTCGACGTTTCCAATGGTGTAACACCACCTGCACATAATATCTCAGGTCTACATTCGGTGTTTCATCGATTTAAATCCAATTCTGAAATGTAATGAAGGAAACAGTCCAGGTGATTTTACGTTAAACTAAAAGCTTATTTCATCCATTATTTCTGTTGCCGTCTTTCATCCACAGGCTCCGTTGTGTACACATCAAAACACAAAGCTACAGTCAGAATAATTGGGTCGAGGGAGACATAATCAGTAGCTTATACCAAATAGCATGTGTACTGGAGAACATCATGTGTTGTCTGGGATGTTAAACATTAGAGCAACAGTGTGTGCTCCAGTAATTAACCATATAACATATAATAGCATATAAGGATAAAGCATATAAAGCATATAGTAAGAAGAAAAACAAGAAAAGGAGTTGCTGAAAAAGGGTTAAAGTAGATGACCTTCCCATTTGGACAATGTCCTAATGTTTCATTCAGATGTCCTGTTGCTGAGCATTAAATAGACAAAGTCTTTCAATTAGACATAAATATTTATTATACAATACATGGGAAGATCCCTATACACCACTACGGTATTTATATCTCTACAGGCCTAAGGGGTGTCTGGTGTGGCCTATTTTGGCTCCTTTAAGGACTTCCATCTGTCTATGATAATGCGCATTTTAGGTCTACATCTGGTTTGTTCATCGAGTTCACTCTGGCTGCAACAGCCCTGCTTTTCTGTAAGTTATAAGTTATTTTACACACATTTATGAGATGTAACCAGAAACAAAAGCATACAACTAAGAATCTGTTGGTGTAAAGAATACCCAGAGTCCTTCTAGTTGTATGAGTGTGTACATAACCCTCTAAAAGATGTCATCATATTTACCATTGGTTGGTCACAGAAGCAGCCATGAACACCTGCAGTGAGAGAAACAGCCCAATCATATCCTCTAACAATGATGGAAACGTCCCAAAGCGTAGCAGCCCACAAGACACCTGCTGAGGCACCAAAGACAGTGTAGGTCATGTGAAAAAACATCCACATAGCCTACATACACTGTCCAACACACTGCTGGACAGCGAACCAGAACTAGAGGTATTTTTCACAGCAGACTTTTCATAGTAGGAAAAACACAGCTGTTAACAATAATGTTAACCCTTCTGAAGCGTCCCAGTAGTGTGACAGATACAATAGCAGGACCCTGAAACTGAAGCAGCTGAATGAAATTTAGCCACCATTTTATTATTTACACCTGTGCTTTTCCCACTCTGACATGTCAAAATGTCTTCTGTGAAAAGGACCTCTTGGCCAACAGGAGAACGTAACTCATTTAACTGAACTATCAAGCAACACTAACATACATGCTGACAATTTGCATTATATTTCCTGACAATGGTGTGCACTGGTCCTGTTACATTAAAAAGCCACTCCTGGACATGATTTACATCCCCTACATACTCAATGCCTCTCCTGTCGACAGCCTCTCTAACAGAAAGGTAGTGAGCCAGTAAGCCAATCCTCTGGTGGCGTTCCCTCATCCTCTGTCTATTGTCTCTGTTCTCATGTCTTCTCTCTGCAGAGAGCCTCACTAAGTAATGAACCAGAGCTTCTTATGTCCACAGACAGAGAGAGAGAGAGAGAGAGAGAGAGAGAGAGAGAGAGAGAGAGAGAGAGAGAGAGAGAGAGAGCCCAGCTCCCACCAGCACAGGCCTTTTGTTATATAGTTAATAAACTGAATTTGGATTTTGGTTGGTAATCCTGTTTGCAGGTTTTGTTTGGGGTTTAAAGATGTTGTGGGTCTGGGTTTATAGGCCTAGCTGTGTTGGTTGGCCTTCACCATCCTTCTCTTAAGATTGGCAACAGCCTCCAACTGCCTTTTTCCTGAAGTTTTTCCGGAAGTTTAAATCTCGTTTATTATTAAAATAATCAATTGAAGTGGCATCTAATATATTATGGTCTTTACCGGAGCCTATGGTAGTGTGTGTGCTTTGTCAGTGTTAACAAGCCTTAATCAACCTTCCTTGTGTGACAGATCTTATTTCTCATGCATCTATACTGAGCAGCACTTTTATGTCATAAGCTATAAAGTGCATGTCAGAACTGAACATTATATGGTCAATATATAAGAAGAACATCAAAAACATAACTCTGGGGCATTAAGTGTTAATAACCTTTCCGTCACAACAATGCAGGGATGTGTTTCAGTGAGATGTCCTCATGAGGAGTGAATGCGTGAAATAGGAAATATCTTTTGATTTGACACATACAGACGCAATAAATGGGGAAAGCCCCTCACACAACAAGGTTTTCCTTTTACAGAGCTCTTACGTACTTGACTTCATAAAGAAATGACCAATAACCTGTTGTCTGAAACCAGTGATTGTGCTACTGCAGCTAGTATTCTTACTAGCCTGAATTTAACTATAAGATAAATACTTAATATAAATGTATCTACTTCCACTGCTGCTGTGTGACTATTGTTACTGTACCTACTGCTACTACCTAATTAAATATCAGAAAAAAACTAGAGGGGGTTAAAGAGCTATTAGCTTGCAAAATACTGAGCAGATAATGGAATTTCATAACATGTTGAAACACGTTTTATACACGTTTTTAAAGCACAGTTGCAATATTTCTCACAATGTTAAGGATAAATTCAGCAGGAAAAATCTTTTTAATGTTTAAGAATGGAAATTGGGTCAGCACAGCAAAATATCAGAATTAGTATCTGAGCCTTAAAAATCATGTGAGTAAAATTATAATGCTCCCTTCAAACACATCATATTCTACATAAGTCAGTCACTAAGCCACAATATTAATACTATAAAAGATGAGAAGAAGCAAGTCAGGCACCAAGCAGCTTTCATTATCCCATTTCCTTTAATTGGACTCAGCCTGGGGACATAAGACTCAATGACTGATCACAGCAGATAAAAACCTTTGAAATGGCTCTTTTTGGGGTTTAATCAAATAGCCTACATTTAGTCCAAACTAAGCCTCTGTCATAAATGTCCAAAATGGACTATGAAGTCCAGCCTAGCACAACTTGTTTGCGCTCCTTCCTTTTCCATGAAGTTGAAGAAATCTGCTTTAAACATCTGGTACGGTACTACAAGTCAAAAATATCCAGGAAGTCTTATCTAACCCTATACATCCATAGAGAATCAATATACAGAAGGAATGTTTGTCTTTATGCTTGAAAAACAGATTTTTATTAAAGGCTTACAGTACAGACACTCACTGTCAGGTTTACATTTCAACTTCACCTTTTGACAATCTATTTATGTTTTATTCAAAATGTCATAAAGGCTTAACTACGTTACTGTGTGTGTGCCTGTGTGTGTGTGTGTGTGTTTGGGGCTGGCCTGACTACAAAAACGTGCAGCCCAGCCTGTAGGCTGTAGGTTTAGTTAATTGTACTCAGCAGACCGAGTTTGGGCAGGCTCAAGGTCAAAGACTACAGTATGTTTTCCTCACTTTCCAAAGGACATTGAGAGGTGGTCTCATTGAGGTCTTGGAAGTAATGAGGAGATGTGGCTTATTACTCATAGGTTATCACAATTATGATTCTTGCTTTAACTTTCAGGGCTTAGGTCACGACGCAGAATTAGGTTTAAATTAAATTTACATTATGATTTAAGGCAACAGGGTAATATTGCCCTGTTTCTGATCAAACAGCAGCCTGTTCAAAAGAGTATTTTAATTAGACTATCCATGTATTTTCCAAACTGCTCCTTTTCGTCAAAGTCTGACTTTGGCTCGATCACCTCACCGTTTTTAACGGAGAACGGCACCGCTTTGCTGGAGTACCGGGGCCACTGCTACCATGAGCCACGGCAGCAGTATCCTCCTCCGTGGAAATGGAGCCTCTACCAGGCGAACCGTCCCATCACCTCTCCGTCGTCATCCTGCTTCAACTTACCGGGGAAAGTTCATCACGACTACCATGGCTCTTCGTCGGACACTATATTCAACACCAGCAAGGACTGCTTTCTGTACGGCGCGTCTGATCCCCGTTTTCACGCCCAGTCGTTTGTAGAAAACCCGCGGAGCTTCCCCCCCGGCAGATACACCGCGTTCAGTCCGGACCCACAGCTCCTCTTCCCGGCAGGGCGCAGCAGAGTCCTGCCGCCGGTTTTCGATCAGTTTTTCGAGTATGCAGAAGAAGGAGTGGACCCGAAAGCGGATATTACACCTGGGAGCCAAGAGGAGAAAGATACCAATCGGGCCGAGTGCACGAGCTGTCATAGCGGGGACAGCAGCGAGGTGAGGGAGGGGTCAGACTCACCCCGGCCTGGGAAGGAGGACGAGGAGGATGCGCCGTTATCCAGCGGCAGCGGAGGAGACTACAGCCATGCACCGAGTGAGTAGAAGCCATACAATAACATAATATAATTCCAGCTACAGACTGGTTACATTGATTCACTCCTAAATTACATTTCTGAGAAATCAGACAGCAGTTTAGACAGACAGAGATATTTGCTTTTCAAAATAAAACATTGGGATACAAAAAATAATGTAGGCTACTACTTTTCTTGTACAAGTATAAAAAACAAAAGGAATGCACTTAATTGCTCCAATAGAACAATGTAATGTCTCTAAACCCGAATATAGCCTACAGCGTGGCTCATGTTTATAAGGTTAAAAATCGTAGCCTACTTTTCATATTAACAATTTTCCCTATGTAGATACTGTCTGTTGTGAATGAAGCCAGGATTAATTCAAAGTGATATAAACAGCCCTGGTTAATGTCCCTATTTTCTGTCCATTTGTTGGTATTTTTAGTTGCATGCAACCAGTGGTTGGCTGCTGAAATAGTAATTAGTAACATGGTACTAACCATGCATGTGGGCCTATGGTTCTGCCTATAGATGGTTACAAATAACTATGTGAACACTTGTAACACTTGTAAATAGTAAGTAAGTGTAAAGTTGTATTAATTAGCTCAATTTAGGATTTACAGCATGAAGGTTGTGTTTTTTGATCTCACTGTTTTGAGTCAGACCTTTACATTCACCTTAAATTAAAAATGACAATTAATGTCAATAAAATTGTAATTTTGTATCAAGTCAAAAATTGTTGCTCATCTCTGTTAGATGGATATTCTGACCATTCTAATCAGCACCCCAACTCTCTATCTGTCTATCTGTCTGTCTGTCTGTCTATCTATCTATCTATCTATCTATCTATCTATCTATCTATCTATGTTTATTATCATGTTTAACCTTTTCCCTCTCTCTCCAGCAGAGCCCTGTGTGAGGAGGAAGAAGCGTTGTCCTTACTCTAAGCAGCAGATCAGAGAGCTGGAGAGAGAGTTTCTATTCAACATTTACATTAACAAGGACAGACGCATGCAGCTGTCCCGCCATCTACGCCTGACAGATCGGTGCGTCCATGTTGCAATATTAATTTTTATTTATTTATTTAATTTTAATTGAAATAAAAATTACATGTTGCATTGTAAAATAATTAGGCCAGGCAGACCTGGGCCCCAGTTTTGATTCACTGACTCACATATGAAAGATTTGTAAAATACAACCTGCTGCAGGTTAAATTATGGCTCACCAGGCGTTATTCAGCATAAGCTTCTGGCTGCAGTGAAGCATTTTTCATTTAATATAATCCAATTACCCAGTTTCTGGTTCCACTTGCAGCACAGTGCTATGGAACCCATGAGTAGGATAATTATTTAAATTAATTTATTTTACACTGGAAGGAGAAAACATTTTACAATTTTCTCACTTTTTGTAGACCAAACAATTAATTGATTAATCACAAAAGTAATTGGCATATTAATTGGTAATAAAAATAAGTGAGTGAGAAGCCAAGGTAGTGATAGACGTAACACACAAAGTTACACTATTCCACACCATGTGTAGTATCGGGGAACTGATGATGTTTCTGTAACTGGCATTTAAAATAAATCTTTTTAGTTTTAAAGATTCATCATCATATTTATTTGGCATGTGCGTTTGTTGTAGGCATAGTAGATGTAGGCATAACCAATAAAAAAAGGTTGGTGATGACTTTCCCCACCAAAATTCTGTCTGAGGAACTTAAAATGCACTCTGTCTTAGTGAGAACAGCACAAAGAAATCATATAGTAAAAGATGTTTTTTATTCTATTCTTTGCTGATCCAGACAGGTGAAAATCTGGTTCCAGAACAGAAGAATGAAAGAGAAGAAACTGAAAAGAGACAGACTGCAGTACTACACAGGATACCACCTGTTTTGATGGACAGGTGAGGGAGAAAGAAGTAAGAGACAGTCTTTCTTCCAACCTCATGTACAGACTGTGTGACAACTCCGGAAACTGTGTCACAGCACTGTATTTTAGGCAGGTTAATAGAGACATAAATAAAAGACAAACACTGTCATCTAAGGAGAACCCCAAGGCTCATGTTTAGGCCCCATGTTTTTTTCTTGAGTACAAACACACCATAGACAGTGAAAAAAAACAGCAAGGTCTCTATTGAATATTCTCTCTCTTATCAAGAAAACATTCAGAATGCTCCTTTTGCCTCGTTTGAACCCAACTTCCCTCTGAAGTCATGTGGCCTACTGTGGACAAATGAACCCTCTCTGTGCCTCAGGCCTTCATGTCCTAATATAGTAAGGAATGAGGACATACATTAAAAAAACTAAATATAGGGAAACATCAAATACAGATCAAGCTCTTGCTTATCAGTGGAGCCTTCTGTTTTGCAGTTCACATTTCTCTGAGTATTTGATTTGATTTATTTGTTTTATTTTTGGGGTGTTTTGATGTTGACTTGCACTGCTGACAATCTAATGGAGTGAGTGAGTGAGTGTGTGTGTGTGTGTGTGTGTGTGTGTGTGTGTGTGTGTGTGTGTGTGTGTGTGTGTGTGTGTGTGTGTGTGTGTGAGCTTTTATAAACTGAAATGATATACCACTATTGATGTCACAATTTTTTTTAATTATAAATCCTCTTGCTGTTCATGTGAATTTGTTTATAAGTGACGTGCCTGTGCAAGGTTAATAACAAATGACAATTATACGATAACATTTAGCAATCTAATTAGCATATAAATATAATCTTTTTTTTTTCAAGCAAAGACAATCTACATGAATTATTCTTATGATTTTTGATATTGGTTATTATTTTGTTTCTGTGTTTTTAGAAAAACGACTGACTGCATAAGAAAGACATATTAACTGTATTAAATCAAACCAAATATTGAATGACATACCATTATTTCATGCCTGTCTTCTACTTTTGTGTCAAGTGTCCGTCCTTGCATTTATTGCACTATTACTCAGCTTGTATTTTAATATATTCATGTCTTATACTTCAATACATACACTTGAAGACAATGTATTAAAATATTTGACAACCATATATAATATCACTATAAGAGGAACTGTTTGTTGTTGGACTTTGATGGAGGCATGTGTAATCCTTAATTTGATGTGAAAACCTTGATGTAAAATAAATTTGAGTTGTGAGGGTTTTATGATACGATATTGTATTTTTAAATTGCATTTCTATTTTACTCTGAAATTTACAAAAGCTTTCAAGCCTTTGAAAACAAAAACCACACCAAATTCATATGATATTTAGAGTTTAACTTTAGTCTGACTGTGAAATTATAAATGGAAAATTACATTTATATTTACAGTCTCTTAGTGGTGGCACAAATCTGTTTAGATACTTGTTTTATAAAATAGAATACATAGTAAAACAAAATATTTACACAAACGACACAAATAATGCTTATTTTAAATGCCAGTTTGTTACAGAATTGTCTTGGGCCATTCAAGGTCTCGTTTGACTGTTTTTATATAGTAATAAAATGAAATGCATGTCATATGTGATCACCTCTGGAACAAAAAAGTATACCCAGAAGCACAATTAAATAGGCTCACATTTTAGATGATGCCTAAATCATAAACACAACCACATTAAGTAAAAAGCAGGGTATTTGCTGGTAATTGCAGCCCGAGGTTACATTAATATAAAATGCGACATCCGTAAGTGAAATTTAACACTATAAAAGAAAATAGGTATTAAATAGTGAATTTTCTCTTCTCTTCACGCTGGAGTTCTGACCCAGACTTTGAACACCGGACAAGACAGCAGAAACACACAGTGAGTCCAAGGCTGCAAATGAACCTTGAACACCACACCGTCACAACCACCATTTCCTCCACCTAATGACTTTTATTGGGGCAATGCAGACAGTCTGCTGTCTCTACCTCTTTGTCTCACTCAGTCTGTGTGTGAGTGGGGCTGTGCGTGAGTGTGTATTTGTGCGTGACGTAAAAAGAAGGAGATGAAAGGGGAGATTGTGTTTCTAGTTGGAACTAAAGGCATTCAACCTAATGACCTACAATAAACTCCACCGCAAGCCTGCCAAGCCTTTTTTTCCACCAGCACAGGCACATTTGAAACAGATTTATTTATAGATTTTTATTATTATTGCTAGGCATTGTGCTGTTTTATTTACATTTTTAATCCTAATAATAGAAGTAGAAACAATAACACTGGCATATTGGAGTGCAAACCATATTAATAGTAGGAGTAGTTGAAGAGGCAGTATTAGGGGTAATAGGTATCAGCAGCAGTATCAGTAATAGTCGTAGTAGTTAAAGGAGTCGTAGCAGATATTGTATGGTGTAGCAGCAGCACTATTGTTAGAAGGAAAAGAAAGTGACAATTACAGTGGTAGCTATATTACAGTATTGGTGGTAGCTGTATTAAGATGTGTAGCAGTAGTAACATTAGTGCCAGCAGCAGCAATTAGAAGCAATAACAGCAGTTGCAATGATAGATGTATCAGTCATAGAAATAACAGGGAAAAGGCAACACTTTGCTTTAAGTGTTTATTAATGTATTTGTCAACAACCGTGAGTCCTCTTGTGGGCACTTATATTGTATAATGAATAACAATATAGTAAAAACACAGTTGTTTCAATATAAAATATATCTTCATAGGAGTTCTAATTGTTGACAAATATTACACATTAATAAACACTTAAAATGTCTGCTTACAACTTAATTTTATTGTGTGTTATAAATCATTATTTCAATTATTTATTTTTAAATACCACTTATGCACACTAATGTGTGCTAAGAACAGCAATAGCAAAGTAGTCATGACAGCAACAGCAATGGAAAGAGTAAATTGTAGTAATAGTACTTACTTACTCATCTCTAAAACAGCTGATGTCAGTTTATGGCAGTGCAGTGTGGGCAATGTTGGCAGCATCTGTCCATTACTTTTTACAGTTTGTTGAATAAATGTAAGTCAGCCTGCATGAGTACTACACAGCAAACACCCCAGATTCTGTAACAGGAGGTTGAGCTTGACCTCCCACCTTCACTACCAGAGACACTGCCTCCTAGAGGAACTTACTGCAATTACATCCATCTGGCCTAAATCCTCCTGGGTCCAGTTAAATTAAATAGTAAGTGCTGATTCATGTGTTTCTTCCTTTTATTAATGAGACCAGCTGAAAGAGTTTATACTAACTTGATTATGTGCTTAATAAGAAAAATACATTTAGGTGCCCTGTTTGGTGAAAAAGACCAGAGCTCTTCAAGGTTGACAGGCTAAATATAAACTTATTTATTAAACAGTTGGATATTCTAAAGCAGTTTTTGTTCCAGAGGCAGGTGGTTCCAGGTAGTCTCTAAGAAATATTTGTGTTTAAATGATTGTTTTTCTCAGTTTTTACCTTTTGGAATCAACTCACTAACAGTGTCTCTGGAGTTATATTTAATTAAAAAAAAAAACTCTCAAATAAGATGCCTCCCTCTCTAATGCAGATGTTTGTGCCTTGTTGCATGACAAGTTTGGGAATCCCGCCTGTTTTCATTCACCCAGACAGCAGATGGCGCTAAGAGTGCACATGAAACAGCGATCAAGGTCTATGTTAGAAAATGTGCAAAAGAATCACAGTTCGTTTTTGTCTTTAAACCACGCCTCCATTGGCTTGTCACCCTTCTTCTCCAGCCAATGGAATTTCACTTTCACACACAAACATGGGCACAAGAACGATGTATGGAGAAAGTCTTTAAATAATTGGCATGGGGGCAATTGCAAAGTATTCAGTATCTTAGAGTGACCTAACTAAATAATACCATATACAGCTGGTACGTTAGACCCACTGAAAGATAGATCCATGTGTCTCCAAAAAGTAAATTATGAGCTAAGAAAAAAGGGCCCTGTTTTCGCCTTTGTGACCATGCACTTTTCACATAATCCAATGAGAATTTAAATTGTTTAATATTTCTAAAAAAATTAAACTCAAGAGTAAGAGTTCCTAAACTGGAGATACGTGGTTTCCACTAGACAGAGACGGGTCTCAACAGCAAAACATCCAAACGCAATAAAAAATAAAAATAATTTACTTGTAGCCTAAAATCAGAATCCGAATCAGTGTGTAATCTAATCTATGTGCAATCGCACAAGCAGGCATGATTAATTTATTTATTAATTTGTCAGTTTATTAATACGTGAGTAAGTAAGAAAGTTAATAAGTCAATAAATAAACAACAAAAGACAGCTTTAAAAAAAAAAACAGATAAGTGAACTAGTCCACTGATACAGATCCAGCTGGAGACAACTGACATGTTGGGTTGTGGTATGCGCCAAAGAAAGCTCACATAGCGCCAACATGAACTTTTTTCAAGAAATACACAATGTTTTCACTAAAAGCTGAAGATCAAGAAAATCACTTATCCAGACAAAGAAAAGCCAAAACCCATCTCCCCTCTTTTAATCTCAGCCCCGATACACTTTGAGACCACACACACACACACACACACACACACACACACACACACACACACACACACACACACACACACACACACACACACACACACACACACACACACACACACATACTTCAAACAAGCTTGTAAACGGCTCTCTGCTACTTTTTATTCAGCCTGTAAAAATGTTTCAAGTATTTTTTTAAACCTACAGTGTGTGCTGCATTCAGGCCCATCTGGCAGCGGGGTCGTGGGCCTACTATCACATTTCTGAGCACAAAAGAATGATTTGATTTATTTCCTATACTGGGTAAATACAGTCCAACCATGTGATCCACAGTGTAACCAATGGGCAGCCGAGAAGAAGGTAAGGGCAGGAAAAAAAAATTACTACCATTTTAGGGGAGGATGTAAGCCACTATACCAGCCCATCTAACGTTTTACAGTCGCACTTAAGTGTCTTTTTATTGAAATAATAAAATAAACATGTCGCTAACGAATTATTATTCCATGATGGGGCTCCAGACCGAGGAGCCGTACGGTGCACATTTCATCCCGGGAGGCTTGCAGGGTTCGACGGCCGGCTGCGCAAAGACAGCCCGGGGAGCGGAGGAGGAGGAGGGGACCCCCGGCTCACACATTCCGGATTTTTCACATTTTTCCAACAAACAAACGAGCTTAAACGGCTTTTCTCCTTGGACAAACACCTCTACTTCCTCTTCATCATCTTCTCCGCAGCTGCAGTCCACCCCCGGCGCCTCCATCCCCGGCCTTTTTCATCCACATCACCTCCTAAGCCACCACCACCACCACCACCACCCATACTACGGCCCGCAGGCGCAGACCCACGCCGAACACCTCGCATCCGCGGCCGCTTCCGAGAGCAGATTCGTCCGCTGCTGGGAGGGTGCGACCCCCACCTCGGAGACCTCTCTGTCACATGCGTCGGCCAGTTTTCCCGGGTGTCTCCCCGCTCAGGGTGACCTCTCCAATCCGAGCCCGAGGTATGAGGCGGTTAAACCCGAGAATTCACCGCCGCCACAGGACAGCCCCGCGGATTCCAGCTTCGCCAGCCCGACTGAGGTGGTCCTAGAGCGGCTTGGGACCGTGGAGGAGCTGGGGAGAAAGCCGGAGCCCAAAAAAGAGGACGAGGAGAGGAAAACACAGCCACAGCTTGACCCGGGTAAAGACAGATATAGCAAACTCAGTGATGTTTATTAGCATGTGCATACACAGGTGTGTGTGTGTGTGTGTGTGTGTGTGTGTGTGTGTGTGTGTGTGTGTGAAAGAGAGAGAGAGGGAGAGAGAGGGAGAACGTGGCCTAAGAAAGTAAGTAAGTGTGTGTGACTTTTATAGCCCTATAAATGTCTTGTAAACGGTAAAATATAAAACTTTATTGTCCATTAAAATAATTAAGGTGCTATTGCTGTTATTTAACAATTTGTCACTGGAGGGAGAACGCAGGTAGGGTTGCGCTGCATTTCTCTGGTAGGATTTGTGCTGCAATTAATGCTTATTGTATTGTAAAAGAAAAAATAGCAATAGGCTTTTACAAGCATGTCTATGCAAAAACACCATAATCATTTATTGGCCCTAAATAAAAATGATGTTAAGCAAAACAATATTACTGGGCTTATAATAATAATATAATAATAATAATAATAATAATAATAATAATAATAATACCATTTATTGGCTATTATTAGGCCTACATATTTTCATTTGCTACATTTAATTTTCTTCCTGCTATTACTTTCTAACTTTCTGTAAATGCAGGCTATTGGTTTATTGTTAAAATGTACATGCAATAGACTCAACGAAGACAAGAATGAACTTCTGTTTGTGTGTCAGAAAATAGCTTTGAAATATTTTGAATAGCGATGATTTATAGAGATGAGTAAATGAGATCTTCTCCAAATAATTTCATCAAATAAGTGATTGAGAAACTGAAGCAAACTGAGTCCTCTGCGTGGTGTGAGTGTAGCATTACCAAGCCAAAGCCAAAACAGCCAACTTGTTGCTCCCTTGCTGGCTGCCTGTCTAAATATTATTTCATTGCACTCTCTGGCTGCTTTATGTTGTTAAAGTGGCCAATAAAGCATTTTCATATCAGTCAAAGGTTCAAATATCCTTCTCCAACTGCAGTTTAATAATTCTAAAAATGAGCCTCAGTTTGGCTGTTCATCATCACTGCCTGCACTCAGACAGTAATTTAGAGTCTTTATGGGATACACTGCTGTATTTACTGCTGCTTGCTGTCCTCCCAAAAACATTTTAAAAGGTCTATAGCGACATCAGTAACCAGGAACGTAATTTTACACAATGTCATGTTATGTTAAATTATTGAAATAAAGAAAGTGTAAAATGAGGACTTAAACAACCCTAATGCCAAACTAACTGAGTGACTTGGTAAAAGAAGCAATGGGGTTTAAAAAAAACACGTTATTTATGGGGCTGTGCTGTTTCTTTTTCTAATGAGGCAAAAGTTGCAGGCTTATAAAATTTGTTCCTGAGAATATTTTCTTTGGTTTTTATGTCGGTCTTTGAACTCCCCAAGGCGCATGCACACTCTCTCTCTCTCTCTCTCTCTCACACACACACACACACACACACACACACACACACACACACACACACACACAGACACACACACACACACACACACAGCTATGTACACAGATAGCAAAGTAAATATAGTGGTGTGTGGTTAAAGTAAGAATCTATGGCACCCTGTGTCTTCTTCTGCAGAAAATCCATCAGCTAGCTGGATCCATGCCAAGTCCACCCGGAAGAAAAGGTGTCCGTACACCAAATATCAAACCCTGGAACTGGAGAAGGAGTTTCTCTACAACATGTACCTGACCAGGGACCGGCGCCTGGAGGTGGCAGGACTCTTAAATTTGACAGAGAGACAGGTCAAAATCTGGTTCCAGAACAGACGGATGAAGATGAAGAAGCTGATGACCCGGGATAGGAGGAGTATGAATGAATGATGGATTTGGGGTTGCTTTTTCCAGGGTAGGCGTGGAGGAGGTGAGGTTATAGCTCATAAAAAAAACGCAGTGCTCCATAGATACCCAACATCTTTAAGCTCATGATCAGCTGTTACTAAGCAACGGATTATGGAGCTAACATGGCTGCCTTGGAAAAAAAACTGCAGCGGTGAAGCTCTGCATGGGAGACCAGGACGTGTTGTAACACTTTTTAGAAAATATATTCAATTCCTTTTGGCCTTTTTCATGTAAGATCTTCTGAACTCTGGTGTAGAATTCAGCCATCTGCATGTTACAAAATGAGGACAGTCAACCTGTAGTTGTAAATAATGCTCAGAATACAATGTCAACATTTACAGGGAGATCCATAAATTGAATGAAAAAACATACTTGATATCAAAGACTTTACTCATTTTCAAACACATCTGTTTTTGATAAGGTTGTATATCTCTCATGTCCAAAACTGAAACTACTTGACACATACTTGACTTCACATAAATTGAGTGTGCTTTCCGCCAAGATGTGAATTGTGTTTTATGATTTAATGCTAAAACTGTTGTCCTCATAAAAACTGCTTTCAGTGTGCCAGATGAGACTACACTACAAGGCGACTATCAAAGATAAATCCCATGAGTGTTCTTATGTCGGAGCACGTGTTTGTTGGGGCCTGAAAAACAGTCGCATAGTGTTTATTTGAAATTAAAATAAAACACTCATGGAAAATAAGTTTAAATAATACAGGAGCCTTGCACTCATAATTAAATAATTGCCTATAAGAGACAAGAGAGTGAAACAAAGTGCAGTGGTAACTGATGTAAACAGGAATATAAGCAATTTATGTAGTTTAATGATCCATTTGTTTGCTTGAACTTAAAGGGGAAATCTGTTAATGTTCTTGGTTTAAAATACTCCAGTCCAGTTCACACAAGATAGTATATGTGAAACTGCTGTTTACACATGTAAAATATATGAAAACCACAAGTACTTATATGTTAAAATCAACACATGTGCCTAAATGTGAATTTTTAACATGGTTTTTCCAAATAGGATACATTCACATGTGCTCTTTTACAAGGGGAAGTCTGTTCAAACCAACAAGTTAGCCTCCTTTTAAACTTAAATATCCAACATCATTTAAATGAACCACTTCAGCAAATACCTTTTTGAATATGTATATTTTCTTTCTGCCAGATGGCTGCATATGCACACAACAACATGGTGAGATGTTGCAAGAGAGACTCCGGATGCTCTGCCATATTTTGCTGCAGAAATTTACAAATTCCAGTGTTATGGAGTACTCATGTGTTTCCCAAAGAGCGCAGATCGTAACATATCATTGCAACATGCTGACATATGCATATTCACAACCTTATAGATTATTACACAGCTTGCAATTGTAACCTCAGTGGGGAAGATTAGCATTTGTTTCGGAACAGAAAAGTATTGTTTGCCTAACTTAAACTACAGAATGAACAAAAATAAACAAATAAGCAAATTATTAAATGAATGCAATAAATACAGTAACATCAAAACACTTTTGAGTGATTCACAATGTATTTTAAATGCTGTCTCAGAGGTCCATACACAGATAATCATGTGGTTTTTATCTTGCTCCTGACTGGAGCAATTCTCCATGTTACAACCAACCTCAGTCTCCCCGAAAATAATAAGCAGAAGGGACTTTTAAACATTTTGTTCCTCAAAACAGAATAAGCTTCCTTGTTTTGTTTTTTTTATAAACTGTGCATGTAGCCCAATGGGCATATTTGTTGTTACTGTTGTTGTTGCTGTTGTTGTCATTGTTGCTATGTATATCTGTTGTTACATCTGTTGTTACTGTGGGTCTAATATGCAGATATGGTCATGCCTATAATCCTTTACACACACACACACACACACACACACACACACACACACACACACCAGTCATGGCTAAGCTATGGTGTGACAGCAGTCAGATGGTTATTTTGTATCACTGTTACCTCTTGTAAGAATAAACAAGACGTTTTACAAGGACTACATACAGAAACAACGCACAACTCATATTAGAATGTAATAACATCACCTCAACCATTATAGGATTATTATAGGGATATCAAAGGTATTTTAGTGGGGTTTTTTTTTCAATTGTTTTTCATGAGGATGAGACGGACTCAACACATTCTCTCTGGGAGAAGAGGAAACACAACAGGCTATGTTAGCCTACAGCGGCAGGCCTGTGCTGTGATTGAACTGGATGTGATGAAATGAGGCCTTCATCTGCTCATTTAAGCGAACATGTGCTGCTTTTTATTGAAATAAAAGCTGGATTACATCATTGTTAACCACGCGCTTCCTCTGTTCTTTTTGTTTTCCGTTTCAGTTTATCCGTTGGTAATTTGGACTACACCGTTTTCGCCTTTTATTTGATATTTCCACTAATACTAAGTGTGTAGTTGTAGTAGCCGTATTACTGTTTAACCATAATTAGCGACATAATAATAATACCAGACTACTACTGGGCTACTCTAATTATTATAGAAATATGTTTAGTTTTTTCGGATTATTATAGCTATGATAAAATTAAAGTTTATACTTTTTGTATGAAATAGACAACCATACACAACACACTACTACACTACAACATTAAACGGACTACTTTTAATAATAAAATCAGTCTTATAATCATTATCCTGTACTATAATGGTATGATCCAAGAGAAAAACAAAAGTACCTCACGTTTGACATTTCACCGGATTATAGGCCAATAATGCTGTTTTTATTAGGATTGTATTATTCCAACGTCAAGGTGTTTCACTGCTCTCAGGTATGCAGTCTGAGTTTCAGTCCACAGAGAGACATTTCTGCCTCCTTGTTTTGTCAAAGTCAGTGCAGAGCCTCGTAGCTTCCCTCATTTATTGCGGCCATATAATCTGCTCAGGGCTCATCCTACTGCAGGGTCATAAACCAACAGCATGCATTTGGAGAATAAACGTGACTTTCCCCACACTCAAGACAGAGACACACACACAGAGAGGTGCCATAAAGTCATTTAGTCCAGACAGTCATCGTGACTATATGGTTTTATTGGACACCCTTTCCTGCCTTGGAGCCTCAACTGTCCTTCTAAATGTTAAAGTCATTGTCTGGAGATGAGACCAGACAGCCTCAGTCACATTTCTACAGACCACGAGATCACAAAACACAGGGCATTTCATTATACAGGGAATTAAAAGGTGGGACAAAAGCGATTGTGCCTGAGCACCATTTGACTGGATTTGGTTATTTCTTGTAGGCCTGTGTTTTTTAAAACCCGGATTATCGCCATGATTCAGGCTGTATTTAAGACTTCAGTGCAACCGACATAAGAAACTGCCGCAAATCGTTAATACTACTATTTGTGTAATGAATGAGTGACTTTTTATTCTATTTCCGTTTTCTTGCTATGAATAAGTGTTAGGCTCGTTTCATTTTCTAAATTAAAATGTCAGTCAGACCCTTTTACGCAGGCAGTGTGTGAGTTATTTCATACTGACAGAGCACTACAGCTTCATATGGTATTAATAATAAACCAGATGAAGAAAGACAAGAAAATGTACAAATATTTCATAATAACTAAATTAGGAAATCTATTGTTAAACTACACAATTTCACTCCAAACACACTGAACTATGCAGCGCAATGAGTGCGCAATAAAGGCAAATAAAAAAAAGTAATTAGTTTTACAAAAAATACAATGGAACAACAACAACAACAACAACAACAAAAACGCTTTATAAATTCATATTAAATATATAGAAGTTAACTAGAAGGTGCCATAAAATAAAATGAACGAAACAACCGTATTAACAGTGAACTACAACAAAGGGAATACTGCAGAAATTAAATAGGACGGCAAATTATGTTCAAATGATTGCTCCCGATTAAGTGTTGCTCCCAATACAATGTCTGTAATAACATCAAATTAATTCACAACGGTGCACTAACATAGACTGTAATAACTGAGGCGAGTTACATGTAAAATGATTACTTAGAAAAAAGGATTCCGCAGCGGGTTCAGTACCCGAGCTGTGGTTGTCTTAGCAGGAAGCTGTACCTAGTAACAGCAGTATATACTATACAGCCTGATATGAATAGTGCTCTATTCTTTAAGGTGACGATATAATTAAATGTAATAAATTGTATTAAAAATGGACAGAAATGAACGTGGAACCATAGTGTGGGGAAAAAGGTTCATTGTTAGAAAACAATTTTGTCAATATACTGAATTATTTTGCTGATTTAAAGTGAAGCCTCTGGATTAAAACATTTAAAGATGTGAAGTGTCTTTAAAGACTGAAGAATATACAAAAACACCAAGAATCAGCACTGTTGCGTGTGTGTGTAGTAACCGACTCTGTCCGCTGGGTGGAAGTGTCGTGCTGCAGTAAAAGACTGCAGTGGTTCTCAACCAGCGATCTGAGTTCAAATCTCAGCAGAACCTGAAGTTCCAAATCTATTTAAACAATTTAAAAAACAGAGCTTGAAAATGCCACTTAAGTAAAAGTGTGTAAGTATAATCAGAAACTGTACTCAAAGTATATGAAAACTGTCCCCTGTGACTGTGCTATGACTTATTATTAGATTATTACTTATTAAATCTTAGTCTGTTGAGTACTGAACTGCGACTAATGATTATTTTCATTATGGATTAATATGCTGATTATTTTTTCTCAATAAATCGATTGATTGATTTGTACATTACTAAAAATTTGTACTAAAAATAGTAAGAAATGCTGTCACAATTACCCAAAGTAACACCTTCACTTTTGTCCAACCAACAATCAAAACTATTAAAAAAATAATAAGACCATTAAAATAATTAAAAGGAAAAGCAACAAATGTGTGAAATTTGAAATGTTTTTGAATGAAAAATGACTTAAAGGAGGACCAAAATAGTTTGTCAATCAACTAATTGATTAAGTGATGATACTTCCTGTTGAGTAGTTTAACATATAAAAAACATGTTTTAAAAGCACTTTGTATGTAGAAATCTTAAGTTGTAAAGTAACAAGTAACTAAAGCTGTCAGATAAGGGAGTGAAGTAAAAAAGTCCAATATTTCCCTCTGAAATGTAGTGGAGGAGAAGTATGAAAAGAAAAGACTTGAGTAAAACTACTTAGTTCCACCACTGCTGATCTGTCTGTCCACTCTTTTACATAAATGTTCAGTGACAACTTAAATTTACTCCAGTAATAAAAGTGGAATTTTAAAGCTTTTCCACTGCATTTAGCCAGGTACAGTATTTATGCTCCTTGACATTTGGCCTTTCAGGAAATACCCTGAAAATTCAACTTTTCAGGAAATAGCCCTGTTACTACTCAGTGACACAATGTAGATGATCAGCCTATCTAAAGATTTCTAGAAAATGATCGAATAATTATTTTTCTCAACTGGCATGGGAGTTCATTCATGTAGAGATAATGGGGTGAAATGCCATGCTGTTTTAATTGTCTGTTTAAATTTAACAAATGTACACAAAGAAGAATCAAATTGTGTTGTTTACATATGAAAACACTGGATAAACATGCTACCTCAGCGGGGTCTACTTTCACTTTGTGTTTCCTCTTCAAAATAAAAGGTCACATTGACCTGCCTCCTGCCTTCACATCCTTAAAGCTGACACACTTACAAAATCAACATACCTCTGTAAAGCTGAATCAAAACAACCCTTCTTCTCTCACAGTATTTAAATATAAGCCACTTATTTTAGAGCTGTTTACATTAAGAAAAGAGAAATGCATAAATATTCAATTAAAAAATTAAAAAAGAAAAAAGGAAAAATTAAAAAAGAAAAAAGAAGGAATATCTATCAAGTATATATACAGTAACATAATGCAAAAATATGCATCATGTGATTTAAAAGGCCCACTTTCTTTCACTGCTGATGAACTATGACATAAATTACTGAGTTTTTAAATAAACGTAGGCACAAAATGTGGTCAAAACTTATTTCTTCTCATGTTCTCAAAGAGTTTCCTTTCATAAAAAGACAAACCATAAATCACAGACCCACACAAAAACAGACGGCATATGGTAGAATTAATTCTGAGTTTGTGTCCTATATATGCAGCGATCCTTAAAAATATCAAATAGCAGAGTACAACCTTCAGTAACAGTGGTTATAACCAGCCATGTAGCAGTATTGTAATTGTATTAAAATGGTCTGGACAAGGTGCCAAATGTTACAAGAAAACAAGAAGGAAGTGTGGCAAAATTTTAACATCTGATTGCTTTCTGTCCCATGTTTTCAAAGCCTTTTTTCTAGTCCTTAATGGTCCTAAAATGGTAGAAATGCTAAGCTGAATTGTGGCATTGAACCACCTCAAAATAAGATGGCTGCCATTGTTGTGAAAATGAAAAATAGTAGAACGTGAATATTTTACGGCAGCTACTTACATTTGTAGAAGGAAGATGGACAACAACATTTAAAATGTGACTGGGCAGCACATAACCTACCCCTGAAGAGCCACTGTAAATGCATTGTAAGAACATAGTGACTAAATGACTTATTATTTTAATCAGGCCATCCTGGAATATTCAAGGTGCTGAATACTAATAATGAAGCACGCTCTGATAAATCCAGTTCATTTAAACTTCTGGTTGACTTGTGGCCATTGAAATGCACTCACAAGATCAAGCATCAAATACAGGGTGGAAACAGTGATGTCATTTTGAGATAAATGAAAATGGAAGTGATTTATACGGGCAGTTTTTATTATAGGAGCCAGCTCCCTTGCAGGAAGAATGCAAGAAGTGAAGAAATGTAGGCTAAATAGTAGGTAAATTCTTTCACTCTATTAGGGAAAATAATTTGTCTTTTAAAGATAAATATGATAAAGCAGAGAGAGGTGAGAATAACAACCTGAGTGTATTATCTATGCCAGAGGAAAAACACCAAAGAAAGACATGTGGTATTATGGCATGAAAGATAGTATATACTCACGCATGTATTACTATTATGCTTCCATCTGATGCTCCAAATAAAAGACGTGATCAGCCCAGTGTTTGTATCTATTGCTAAAAAAGCACAGGCAGACAAAGGGAATAAAAATGCATTAAAATTGACATTCGGCTTATATTATGAAAGAATTCATTAATTCATTTTAATCAAATATAAGGTGGCTTTAACAGGAAAATCATACCAGAAGAGAAGCAGGAGTTACAAATGCTGTGACAAAGTGCTATGATTTTAAAGCGCCCACTTTCTAGGCTACCTCAGTTAGTCCTCTGCTGCATTTCCCAGATTGCCCTGCAACAATCCCCAGACAAAAGACTTTACTGCAGTCAACTGTGGGTTCAGCTT